CCCTCATCAGAGCAAATACAAGAAATGACCAATGAATGCATAAACAAATGAAACAGCAAATCAATTTTTTCCTCTCTCTCTCTCCTTTCCCCTCTCTCTCTAGAACAAATTTTAAAAAAATAGAGAATGATCATAGTTTAATTTTTATTCTATAACCTACTGAATTGGATTTGCCATTGGAAAACTAGTGACAGTGCTTATTTAAGGACTTGTTCTGCGGAGAAAGCAAAATAGCATGGACAAAAAAAGGGGGCAGTTCTATGGAAAGTAACCTCACAGGGCGATCTTACCATAAATCCATAACTGGGCAGGCCATGGTGAATAGTCATGCCTTATAATTTTTAGTAAAAGGTTTATCTTTGCCTTAAACAAGCCCTGTCCATTGTTTCTGTGTATCTAAGTCAATATACCATTGAAATAAACTGCTACCATCCTCAAGAAAGCACATAATTTTGTTAACTATCTTATATTTCAATCCCCACCTTGCTTTCCCTCACCTCCACGTCATCTTTCTTGCATTCCCTCCTTAATTTCAAATGCATAAAAGCTACAAAACTGTTCTTCCCTGGAGCATTTGAGATCTTTCTCCCTGGCATATGTTATCAGTTTGGCTCAAATAAACTCATATAAAAGCTGTCTACAGGTTTGGATGCTTCTTACATGGACAATAGAAAGATTTGGTATAGGGAATCTGAGGACATCTCATAACATCACATTGACATAGTGGGTCCCACTATGCCCCTCAAAATTTGTAGTGCAACTTCCAAGATAAAGGCACTGCAGAAGATTGGGATTTTGCACTAGGTGGTATTTAGACCCAGCCTTTCCAGGCTAAGAGGGGACCCAGCATTAGCCCCTTTAGAATTAGCCACTTGGAGCCCGCTATTCATCAGGAAACTTGGGGCACAGTAAACAGGTTCTTATCTTACCTTAGGGCCCCTCTTCAGAAAAGAAAGCTATTACTGAGCCTGAGGATCAGTTTACACAGACAGGTACTAATCTCGGCAATAATTCATTCCTGACACACTATGATTCATGCTTTGTTTCTCACTCAGCCTTACGATGAACTCGGAAGTGCATGGAACAAAGAGCCCAGATCCATAATCAGATGCTATACTTAGCTCAATCACCTCTTTCTTTTATTACCAAAGAAAGTTACCCTAGTGGACTTAGACTTTGTTGCGGATATCTGGAGCTAATCATTATCTCATTATTTTCTGTGCTGAGGAAAAGCATTCAAGCAAACCTGTTTACTGAGATGAATGTCACAATCTCTTTTGGTCAGGCAGTCACCTGTAAGAGAATTCTGTGAATACTGCATGAATGAATATAGCTCAGGAAGAGATAAAATTGATTTGTGGAGTGGCTACTGTGGACCAGGCATGAAGATGGATTTCAGGGCAAAACAGAACAAGACGAACCTGATGCCCGCCACAGAGAATTTACAGACTAACTACCAAACCAGAGGACTCAAGGAGTAAGGGATTGTGGGAAGTGTTAGGAGAGAAGAGTGGGTGGTGGGAGTGCAGGCCAGGAACAGTGACCACCCGCAGGATGCGCTGGGGTTGCGAAGCGGCAGGAAGGACTCGAGGGGGGAAAAAAACAAAACAGCCTATGCAAGAATCTTGAGGCAAAAGGAAATCGGGAAAAAAAAAATCTGGATTTCCTGGGTTAAGGAGTGAGAAGGTGGTACTGGGAGGGGGAAGGATGAGCAAGAATGTGTGGTTTGGGCTGAACTGTGAAAGGTCTTGTAAAGGGTTAAATTAGGTGCAAGACGTGATTAAATTTGAAACGTCAGCTCTGATGGCCTGTGTGGGTAATGGGAATGGGGAGAGGAACCAGCTAGGAGTCAGTTTATTATTTTTTTATTATTATTATTTTCACCCTCACCCGAGGACTTCTTTTTCCGTTGCTTTCGGAAAAGAGAGAGATGAGAGAGAAACATCAATTGGTTGCCTTCTTGGATGCACCCTGATCAGGGATCGAACCTGCAACCTGGGTATATGCCCTGACTGGGTATCAAACCCAGGACCTTTCACTTCGCGGGACGACGCCCAACCAACTGAGCCGCTCTGGCCAGGGCCATCTAAGAGTCAGTTTAAAGAGAAGGATGAGAGGATGGTTTGGGCTTAGGTAGAGGCAAGGGGGAAAGAAGAGGAATGGATGACTAGAGAAATTTAGGAGGCAGAACATACAAGAATCCATCCTTCTCACAGGTAAATAATACTTGGGCTTCACTCACTCCATAGAGGAATCTAAGTGAGGAGGAAGTGACTTTCGGAAGAGGATTCAGAGCCCATAAAGTCTTTATGGAGTCTCTTTGCTGTTCTAAACAACAATCATTTAGGTTTTAAACTTAGAAACAAACTGTAAAGTGCATTCAAAGTAAAAATGTTCTCTCAGAGCTGATATGATTTCAGTTTTTCCTTATGTTCAGACAAATTAGAGAGCTGATAGGCCATGGGAGACATGTTATCTATATTGTATAATTCCATTTATACAAAATTCTAGAAAACACAAACTAATCCATAGTGACAGAAATCAGATCAGTAGTTGCCTAGGAATAGGAGTGGCAGGGAGAGGTAGAGAAGAGATTAGCAAGGGCAGGTTCCACATGTGTATGGATATGTCTAAACAGCAAATGTAGTATGTGCAGTATACTGTACATCAATTATATATCATCTGTGCAGGGCTTATCGTGTTAAAGAAAATAACTACAGGCCCAAAATGGTGTCACCTGTGCTAAAAGCCCATGATAGAAAATGTACATTTAATACCTGATCTAATTGCTTCAACTTTTCACAGAAACACAATCTTAATCAACCAGTAAGGAATTTTTGGGTCAAGCACCAGTAGGGTAATCTGTCACCTAGGCCTCTCTGTCTTCTCCTCCTACGCCCCCCACCCCCAGCCCATAAAAGAATATGCAATATCTCTTCCCCCAAAGGAAAGGTGCGCTGGTTCAAAAATAATCCTTCCTGTCCTACCCCCACCCCGAAGAGCTACCTCACCCCACCCGTTTTCCTATAAAAACCTTCCTGAGACAACCCTGCCTTAAGGGAAGGTGACTTTGCTTGAAATAATTCACTCTTTTAACTTCTTGGTCTCATGCTCTTTCTGCCTACAAAAACCTTCCATTTTGTACAATTCCTAATTGCTAGATAGGATGTTACCCACTTAATGACTGCTTAATAAAGCCAACTAGCTCTCCAAAGTTACTCAGTAGAATTTTGTTTTTTAGCAAGAGTACAGATAAGAGTACAGATAAAAAGTCTGGGAATATGAAGAAGTTCTGAAGATGAATGATAGTGGCGGTAGCACAACAATATGAATTTACTTAATGCCAATGAGCTGTCCACTTAAAAATGGTTCCGATGATAAATTCTATGCTATGCCTATTTCACCACAGTTTTTAAAAGTAAACCATTTTCTGAAAAGAAAGGTAGTAATTCCTATTATCCATCCTAAAATGTTCGAAATTGGCTGTAGACTTGAAACTAATACAAATAATTTGAATGTGAACTGTAACTGAAAAATAAAATGTTCAAACTTATTTCAAACCAACGCTTAATTAACTTGGATTTTTAGAACGTTTTAATTTTAAGTAATTATAAAAACAATGTACTCCCATTTTAAGAAATAGGGACCAAGAGGAAAACATTGTTAAAGGAATAAGTTTTAGAAAAATGTAAAATCATGACTCAATATAAAATGAAGGCACTCCAAAACTTTTATATGGCTCATTAATAATGGATCCGGCATGATGTTACAACCAGTTCACAGAATTCAAAAAGCACACATAGGAAGGCAAACAGCTGTGCTAAAATAAATTTAGAAATCAGTGCCAAACTGGTCAGCAGCTGGGCAGTAATCTTTTACATTCTACTGAAAACCTCATTTGCATGTCTATGGACAAAAATCAGTTGCACGACTACAGGTTTGGTAGAGTTTACAGAGTTGTAAAGCGGCTCACAAACGATGGAGGGCCACAGAACACTATGTAGTGAGTTGAATCTGAAAAGTGTGCCATACAGGACATCCTGTAACACTTCTTTGTGTGTGCACGCGCGCTTTTCAAAATCTTTACAAGGCTGAAAAATAAAACAAAATAACCCCTAGTCCCAGAAACACACTCGCTTTGATACTTTTGAGTCAAATTTAACCTGGACTATGGAGCCTTTATTAAGCACATTAAACAGGTTTATTAAACAAAATGATCCAGTGCGATGTTCTGGGACACGGTTCTGTGCCCTGGTGCACACCTGCCCGGCGCATCCAGGCAGCGCGGAGAGCGGAGGCACCGCCCACTAGGCGGCGAGTGGCTGCAAGTCTATAGCGTAAAACTTGGAGGGACCACCGGCTACGCGTCGGGAGGGGAGGGAGGAGAGGCTACACCGCAGGGCCCACGGCAGGGAGACCAGAAACAGTGTGGAAACAAATCCAGGGAGGAGGAGCTGCGCAACGTCGAGCCGGGCGCGGCCCCCAGGGCGGCTCCGCCTCTTTCCTTCTCCGCCCACGGTCCGGAGCCTCCCGAGGTACTAGGGGCGGGGCAACCTTTGCTCCGTTTCGGAGAAACCCGGCTTTCTGAGCCCGGTGCTGCGCTCCCCGGAGGCTGGAGCGGGCCAGGAACCCCGCTGCTTCTTGCCCGCCCCTCCCACCCAACGGATTTGGCCACGGAGTTCGTTTCTGGACGCCAGCACCTCGGACTCCGGTATCGGTCGGACCCACCCGAGAGAGGTTTCGATTGGGGAAGGCAGCCGCGCTGGAGGGAATTAGGGGCGAGCCGTCGAGTGGGGACGGTCCCGCGTCGCAAACCTAGAGCGGCGGGGACATAGTGGGGCGCAGGCCCCGGGAGGCGTCCGTGCTGACTTCGGAGCACGGGGCTTGCGCTCTCTGGGCGCGCGCGGGCCTGAGCTCGCGAGGCCGCGTCGGCCGAGAAGGCGTCGGTGGAGAAGGCAGCAGGTGTGCCGTCCCGTGGGAGCGCAGCGCGGCCCCTGGGGATGCGGACGCCGGTGGTGATGACCGTGGGCATGGTGCTCGCGCCCTGCGGGCTGCTGCTCAACCTGACCAGCACGCTGGCGCCCGGCTGGCGGCTGGTGAAGGGCTTCCGCGACCAGCCTGTGGACGTGGTGTTATACCAGGGCCTTTGGGACATGTGCCGCGAGCAGAGCAGCCGCGAACGCGAATGCGGCCAGCCGGACGACCTGGGCTACTTCAAGGCTGAACCTGTGCTCGTGGCGCGGGCACTCATGGTAACGTCCCTGGCGGTCACTGCCCTGGGGCTGCTGCTGGCGTCGCTCGGCGTGCGCTGCTGGGAGGATGAACCCCGCTTCTTGCTGGCCGGCCTCTCGGGCCTGGTGCTCTTCACCGCGGGCCTCTTCAGCCTCATCCCGGTGTCCTGGTACAATCACTTCCTGGCGGATCGCACCGTCCTGCCGTTCCAGGAGAGCCCGGTTACGGTGGAAGTCAGCTACAGCCTGGTGCTGGGCTACCTGGGCAGCTGCCTGCTGCTGCTGGGCGGCTTCTCGCTGGCTCTCAGCTTCGCGCCTTGGTGCGAGAAGTGCTGTCTACGCCGCCGCAAAGCAGCCTCCGGCAGCCCTCGCCGCCCCAGCATCAGCACCGTGCACGTCGACTGGCCCCAGCCGGCGCTCCCGCCCGCCATCAAGTACTACAGCGACGGCCAGCACCGGCCGCGGCCCGCCGAGGTCGGCCCCGCCGACAAGCCCAAGGTGGGCTTCCCCATGCCGCGGCCGCAGCCCAAGACCTACACCAACCCGGTGGACGTGCTCGACTTTGAGACGGGGGCCCCATCCCAGGGCGCCTCCTCGCGCAGCACGCGCCCGTGCCACAGCTCCCTGCCCTGCGACTCCGACCTCTAGACAGCGCCTCCGAGCCTGCGCTGTCGCTGTTGGGACGGAGGACTCGGCCCACCACCGGCCAACCTTAAACCTGTCTGTTAACCTTGAGGCTGGAAACATCCTGTTCCTATAACTGCTTTGGAGGGTCGTCTTCCTTTCCTGTGGGCAAACTAGACTCCTTGGACGATAAGTTCAGAGTGGGTTGGGTTTTCTTTTTATAGAGTTTAGTTTTTCTCTCCAGAGGAATCAGGGTCCTTAAAGAGTGACAGACTTATCATACTTTGCGCTGACGTTTAACAACAAAAAAGTCAAAATCAGCAATGGAGGCTAAAAAACGATTTATCACCTTAAGCAATATTCCGAAATGCCCATGAACTTTGCATCAACATAGTTAAATATTATTAATTTCTGCTGAATAATTCATTTTTATGCAAACTCAAGAGACCAATCTATTTCTACCTATGTTTGAATGAAGCTCTGAAAAATAAAGGTAGAGCCATGCAAATACCAGCAGCTTTAGTGGCTTTTATGGAATGAAGTAACCTGATTAACTCATATTTATATTTCTTTATGTATAAATAGGATTTATCTTTTTGTATTACTTATTTTTTGATGTTAAAGTTGAGGTCATCCCAGAGTTTCCCTTCTAGAAGCCAGAGAAGAATGAAAGGACTAATACTATACTGTTTTGTTCCATGGCTACCTCACTCTAAACATAGGGGATCATCCGTTAAATATTTGGTGCAAAATGGAACTTGTTGATCACGTTAGGTTAAAGCACATGTGTTTATAGATCTCTCATTTATAAATAAAATTTGAAAGTAAAACTTGCAGTATACCCACAAACGCTGTTTGTCTCCAGTGCAACCTTCTGGAGTTTAAGCCTTAATTACTAATGATTTCTCGGCTGCCTAGGCACTGGTCCAGAAATCTCACTTTCAGATCTTCGCACCTCTTAGCATAAGATGACGAAAAGAATGCCAACGGGCCCCACTCAAATTCCTGGCTGCTTTATTTTCAGGTTCATGCTGTTTTCTGGGCAGTGCCAAGTTTATTGCTGAAAAAACTTAAAGCACCAGTTTCCACAGGAAGTGCGATTAGAAATCTTTTCCTCTTGTAACAGTGATGCCTGAAGTCACAAGTAGGCATCTGTGTGTTCATGAGCAGGACTAAATTTCCCGTAGGGCCAGCTCTAATTCCAAGTGATTGATTTCAAGGTGCCTTTAACTGAACCACATCTCACCTTTAAAACCTGCCAGTGGTAGCCAGTTCAGAGGCAGGGATGATCCTTTCAGTGAGAGAGAACTGTAGGACTAACTGAACGGCACGTGGTACTCCATAGCAGTGGAAAGGATAGTACAGATTCACTTTCTTTGCCATTTTGTACTGGAATTACCTGTTTCTGTCTCTTCACCACCAAACTTTAAAGTGCGGGCCTATCACTTGGGGATCTTTTTCAAATGCAAATTCTGATTCAGTTGGTCTGGAGTAGGGCCTGAAACTGATTTCCTAAGATCTCCCAGGAGATGCTAAGGCTGATGGTTCCTGGCCCCCACTTGCGGCTGCCAGGCTTTCACTGGGCCTGTGCCTCGTTCAAGTTTCAGTCCCGACTGGCAGCACATAATCAGACCTTTGAGAGCTTGCCCTTTTGCTGAGTTACGGGCTGTCCTGCAGTAGCAGGAATGGAGAAGAGACAACAATGCTGTTTACAGCTAACACCTTAAAAAGGGGTTGGGATCCTGAGAAATCAGGACCTGGCAGATAACACAAAGGCATTGGATTTCTGGCAAGTACCAAATTTACCAGATCTTTTCTGCATCATAATTCCATGTATTTCTAGGGAAACTTTGATAAAACCATACAACTGTGTCCTGTATGTTTCCTCCCAAACTATTATCCACTGGCTTATATTCAAAACACTTTCTCTCTGGTGATTAAGAGCAAACCACAGCCCTGGCTGGTGTGGCTCAGTGGTCTGCACGCTGGCTTGAAAAGCAATAAAGGTCATTGCTTCTCTTCCCAGTCAGGGCACGTGCCTGGGTATGCCTGTGCTGCGGGCCAGGTTCCCCTTGGGGGCATGCAGTGTATCTCTCACACATCCGTGTTTCTCTCCCTTTCTTCCCCCTCTATTGAGATGTGAGAGAGGCTGGCTGGAGGAGGCCAGCACCTCGGGAGTTGCTGTTGGAGGTGAAAACTTACCCTAACCTTAACACCAACTAGGAAGCAACCACACCGCAGTGAAGACACTCGTGGGAAATAGCACAGCCAACTTGCCTGAAGCCGTTCTCAGCTGTCATGTGCCATCACCACTCGCTTTTAATAATCCTCATTACATACAAAAGTATGTGCTCTCATTTAATGGACGAAATCTTTCCAAGATTACTCAGGTTATGCCCAGAGGACCGAGGGATCTATGAAAGTAGAGCAGACGCCGCATCGGCACTAGGCCTGCTCTACCCGTTTGTCCATAGATGTGGCCCCACACCCGCACTAAGGAGGGGCGAGGCTTGGGGCGCACACGCTGTCCATCCCTTGCGGAGGCCGTGGGAGTTGTCAATGATGCTTCAGCTGCCGCCCTCTTTATTTCCTACATCATTCTTCCAGGAAGTTTGGGGGTGCCTGTCATTTTGCTAGCACTTTGGTGGGCACCTTGGAAAACAAAATTACCCCAAGGCCCTGCCTTGCCGAACTCACATAGTCTAGTGTGAGTGATCCGTACTGATGAACTAGAGTCCAGGGCTGGAGGAAAGGCTGATATTTTAGGGAAGGTGGTCAAGAAGTGCTACTGGAACAGAAAAAGGAAAGAGGGCGCGGCCATGTTCTGTCGGTAAAGCAGCCACTCTTGGTCTCACGGCTTCACTAATAAGCTTTTGCTTTCACTTTAAACTCTTAAAAAAAAAAAAAAAGAGGGAGAGGGAAGCATTCCAGGCCAAGAGAACAGCAGACCCCAACAAAACAGGTAGGCATAGCAGCCGTGGCTCCAGGCTGGTGGTGCAAGTGAGTGAGGCGGGGGAAATCTTGTCATCCTTTATCAGGCTAATAGCTTCTCTAGGAGGGAGGACACTCTGGAACAAATTCAATTTGTTGAGCAGAATGTTTTCACAAATATAAACCCTGTTGTTGAGGATCATTCTCTCCTGCCAGTGTGTAAACAGCCCCACGATGCAGTCAGCAGAGGAGAAATCTGAGCCTCATCACACCCCCCCAGAGTGCAGGAAAAGGCTAACCACCAGGGTCCCCGACCCCCACGCCACTCACGTACCCCCCTCCTTTACCCTCCCCTTCACAATGACCTCCCTGAAATGAGGGTCTGTCATTCACCTCTTCGAAGCCCTTGGGATCTTTCTTATGTATCATCCACTCTTAGGTTAAATTCCACTCATGATTTGGCCAAGGCAAAGGTTTATACCGTCATTACTCTCTCCCACACAGGAATCCTAAACTCTTTTCGCCCTTCAGCTTAAAAGAATCATAGTTGAACATACGAAATATATATCTAATATGTATTTTTCTTGGTGCACTTTCCCATTTTACCTCTAAACTGAAAATAAGGGCATGGTTTCTATTTATTTTTGTAATCCTAGGGTACTAACACTTCTTTAGTGCTTATTAGTGATTGAATAACTTAGAGTTACCTCTGAAAGCTGTGTCTGTACCCAGAGTTTTCCTCTCCTTATACACAACTGTCCTGTACAGAGAATGCAATTTGTGGCCCAAGGCCACTAGCCCCAAGCCCAGAACCACCAGTGGGGAACAGGCCCAGGAGCATTTTGTGAACTGGTTTGTGCCCCGTGGTGAGTGACAAGGGAAAGGCTGAGGGAGACTGAACAAGTCACTGCAATCTTTCCAGAACTTCGGTAACACATGCTTCCTAATAGGCCCAGCTCTGCTCTTGCTGAACTTGAGTTTCCTCACCTATACAATGGGGAAGGCCAGATTAGATGTTATCATCTAATAGCCTGTTTAATTTGATATTCTGAAAGTGAAGGTTAAGAATTAGATGAGGCAGGGAGGAGAAACATGACAAACAGTGAAAGCTGGGGAACCTGACTGATCTGTAAAGTTTAGTGATTGGTCTGATAGCAATAAACTCCATGGTCTAGTTCTCAGTTTCTCTGAAACTCATAACCCTCCCACTAGCTCAAACAGTAGGAACTTGGTACACACCCCTCTCCCATCATCCATGACCTGTCCCCCATTCTATAAAGTGCTTCATGTAACCCTTAATTGCCAACAATAGACACAAAAGGTCAAGTTTGAGCAGGGCTCTTTGAGCCTTAGGCATGAGCCAATTAACTTTTCTAAAGCTCCTTGTTCTTCTAGAATAACACTCAATCCTATTACCAGGTTACAGAAGTTGATTTTTTAATAAGGAAATTCAAGTTTAATATCTGCTACAGGTTTACTGCTCCATCTATTAGTGGAGCAAACTTAAGTAAGAAATCAATACCTTACATAGAGATCATCACAATGGAAGGCTTTTATAGTTGAAAACATGCCATTACTCCAAATAGGTAAGATGACATATGACAACCAGTTTAGAGGATAAGTATGGTTAGAAATTAAATATAAAATTTGAAGTATCCATTTATGAGATTAAGTCTTTCTGGTGAAAAAAGCATTTAGGTGTGTTTTGAAAACTCTTGAATAGGGAAAGCATAACAGGACATGTTAAACTAGATTTACGCAGGGTGATACTTGGGCATACGTTCATAAGAGACCAAAGAGAGCAAGAGATATAAATAAGCAACAGCTGAGGACAAGGGGTACATATATGACCTACTAGGAGACTTGGCAGCAGCCGGCTCTCTTTTTTCCCAGGGAGAGGAAATAAGGGGGTGTTTCCAGAGCCAAATGGGAAATGAGGCCTGCAGATTAGGAGGGTGGACCTGAGAAGGAACATTTCTTCGCAGAGCCTGTGGAGTAGGCTGAGCTGTTGACACTCACACCAGGTCTAAGGGAGATGTAGGCAGCTGCGTAAGCGTGTCCGAAGAAAGGGGCACTGCTGTTATACACCATTC